CCTCCCTTGGACATGAGTACTTTGTTTTCTGTGCTAAATTCAGCAGACAGCTGTTGGACTGGACAATAACACAACCTATCCTCCTACGCTGTTTAAAAGGCAAGAGATTTAAGCACAGAAAAACACAGATGTGGCCAAAGCAGGAACATTGCACAATATATATCTCCTCCGTGCCGCTGGACGTTAAGGTGCAGCTGACTCTGAAAGTTGCCCTGCGACAGACTAGTGACCTGTCCAGGGGGAACCCTGCCTCTCGCTCAAAACGTTAGGCACCAGCACCCCTTCCGACCCCAACAGGGGCAAGGGAGGGGTGCCCCTATTGGGTGTTAGAAAATGGATGGCTGGATGGATCAGAAAGTTTTCTTTGTGCATTTGTTTCATCACTGTGCAGGGTTACATAACCACAGCTTTTCTGTTTGGCTTGTTTACACACTGGGAGTGAACCCCCAGAAACAAGTACCATCCTGTTTGAAATTTGTTTAAGGTGCTATTGGTCAATTTCGAGCTCAAATTTCAACCCCTTCTGTTCAGCTGAGTTCAGTGAATCGCTGCGACTGGCTTATCTGCGTGTTCCCATGCAAATTTGACAAATAAGAGCGACATTTGTGCAAACTAGTGTTGCAGAAAACTGCCTGTTTTCTGTGATTTAGATCACACTAGTTTATAAATCTACAATGAAAAGATTCCTAAAAATGCCACAATCTTTTGAAATTTTACAATCGAAACAAACTACAGTGAAGATTACATACATACAATGAAAATAACAAGTGTCTATACAGCAATATAAGCCGTATAGACTGAGATTCTCTTGTTCTTTCAATTCACACATGTCCTAAATGACTCATAACATGCTAACAACTTGATGGCCAGGCGGAAGAGATGATATTTTACAGTAACATTCTAAATGACGTCATCGGTTGTCGGCAAGCGCTGCTGATCCACATCAGATCAGCTCAGCGGGGGAAAAATTTAAAACTTTAAATTCTACCTTCCAGTCATCCACCACTCTGTGCTGCCCGATTGTAAAATCCCAGTAAAACACATTCATAGTTTGTGATTGTAATGGAGTAAAATGTGAAACAGGTGTGACAACTTTTCAAACCAACTGATCAATCGATGTAATTAAAAAAAAATTTTAGAAAAAGGGACAATAAACGTTTTTAATTTTTAACTAGAAGCAAAACATATTGAGAAATGTAAATAAAGACACAGGAAACAATAGAGCCTATCTTCCAGCTACAACTACGTTTATGGCTTCTGTAATGAAGTGGGTCAAACGTGATTGAAGTCGGGAGTTCATCAGGGTTTTAATTATGTTATCTTTATTGTGTGAGATTAGCGAGGATAACGTTTAACAACTGGGTTTCTAGGAAGCTGTGGTTCATACTCCAGGGTTTTTCTGTTTACTCACTGAAGCCGGAAAAGCCTTCAACTCTGAACTCAACAACGAAATTACACATATACCTCCACAAAATGGATTTTTCTTGCTGCTACTATAATTGTTACTTACTAATTCAGGGGTTAAAAATTAATCAAGATGAAGCCATAAGGAATGCTCTTTTGCGTTGCTTTTTTGTTCTTTTTGCTGTATTATGTCCAACAAATTTAGTTTGACCGATCAGAAACTCCAATGCTTTTCTGTTCATGTGGGGCATGAAACAGCCTGGCCTGGAAAGAACTTTCATTTCACATACACACATACTTACATTCATGTTTCCAACATAACTATGCCGCTCTTCTTCAACAAAGGCGTTGAAACATTAGCACCAGCTCCAGAGAGTCAAGGCCAGTCTAATCAGAAGAAGCTTTAGAACAAGTTTCTGTGTGCGCCTCCAAGGATAATGTCCCTATATTCTTACTGAAGAATCTTTCAGAGATTGTGGTCCATAGTAGCTATGTTTCCATCCAGTTATCACACAGATTTTGACAAAAATTTTAAAATGTCCCCCAAAAAAAGCTACTGAGTCGTGTTTCCTTCTCCTGGCTTGGAGCAAATCAGTCAAGCTATATAATAGCAATTTCGTCAGATGTCGACACTGTGGATGGTTGTAATAAATAGGGAGTGGAAACGGGCCGCGCATCACAGAACAGTTCGATGTTTTGCGCCTCTAGTAAGGCACCAGAGGCATCTCCATCTTCTCTTTGAGCAAATGAACCCTTTATTGGAAAAGCCAAAACCACATCAAGCAGGCGCTCAAAACCTTTCTGCGAAATTGAGGAAGTTATTTTGAGTTTTTATGTTTCCATCAACCTTGTCTTTTTATACACAATTTGTATAAACAGCAATACACAGAATTTGCGAGTAACTATGCAAATGCAAAAAAAAAAGTACACGTTCTTATATAGCCTATAATGAGCAAAGCAGACATGTAAAAGTGTTGTGGGGCTTTTCAGTTACACGGATTGCTTCTTAATTAATAGTTACCCACACCACACGTAATTTATTTCTTTAAATATTTACAACTGGTAACTGCGACTATTTATAGCCTCCTGGCAACACCTCAATAAAAGCTGCTCATTGTATGCTCTCTGTTATTGCCTCATTAATGGGGTTTTTAACCTCAAGGAGTCATTACATAAGTTCTATGCGGTATGTTTTAATAACATAAATAGAACTTTGTGCCATCCTCTGAATAAAAACATCAAAATGTTCTAACTTACAGAGTCCTTCTTGACTCAGCTCCCTTGAAAACCTTCCAAATAAACCAGTGGTCACCTGATTCCACTGAGGAGTAAAATGGCTTTGTACGGAATGTCGGAATTCCATATTGGTGTCGGATAATCAAAAGACGAGAACGGAACGTGTGTTTCACGTTCTCAAGAGTGGCGCGCGGTGAGATTCATAGCTGGTGAGGCACTGAGTTAATCATAACCATATTTCCAAATATAGATCCCCTGCATGGTATTGTTTACATAAGGAAATTTTATGCATGCGGACAACGCCAGAGGGCAAAAAGACTATTCTTTTACATGTAACAGATCGCCGCGCTGCCAGCGTAGGATAACTCCATCAACTCAGTCAAACTTGGACATGTGGACATTATTCATTTGGAGGCAGGTGAGGCAGAGCCTCCTCAATTAGCACGTCTCTGATTCTAAAGTGTTTCTCCTGGGAGATAAAAAAAAATAAACAAATTCACTATTTTGTGTGAAGTTAACATTTGCAGTCAAACTAGATCATCTCCTTAATCTCCCTTATCTCTACTGCTACGTTTTCTTTCCCATGATTCATTTTCCCTCTTTCTTTTTTCTAAACATTTGTCTCTTCTATGATTTGCGCTCAGTATAGAATTACACGGGAGAAACCCTGGTTTTCGCTACAAACTCATAAACCCTCAAAGTAATTCACTTCAAACGTTTAGAGAGATGGAAAAAAACCAAGAGTCCTATCCACCCTCACCATCTGATGATGGAACTGACCGTGACCCTGAAGGTAAAGTAGCAACAATTCATTCCTTATCTCCACCAGATTAATCCTTGCAACATTGCAGACGGGCCAGTGTCTGTCCTCATTGGTCGATGAGTCCACCGTTGAAATGTGACCAGTGCCTCACAGGGTCAGAGACCACCCCTCTATCATCTGGAAAACATGCAGACTTCCACAGAGCCGCCTACTAGAAACCTTACAGTGAAATAGAGACACACACTGGTCTAACTGTTGCTTCATCTCGTTACTTGACCACCAATTCTAAGTTTCCCTTTTTATGTGCTGCCTTGTATTTTTTTAGCTTGAACGTTCAGATTCGATGTGTCTTAGTTTAATATGCGTCAAGAAATGGCCACCATGTGCCTGAAAGGTTGAACCCCGCTGCCTTACAGAGGGACTGAGTCCGTGAAGTTCTTGTGGTCGTTGTCCGTTTCTCAGTACCATAGGCGCGGGATCTGGATGTAGATGGCCTGATAACCTGAGAGCTTTGGTTTTTGGGTCACCGTGACAGAACAGAGCAACAGCCGCAATACAGCAGTTTAGGGCTGGGCATGTATCGTGTCGTGACGTATCGTATCGTAGCAGTTATCATTTATTGTGATCAATTTTTTAAGTGTAGGATGGAAGCTTTCTGTTTACTTATGCTGGCAACCTTTTTCCAAAAGGTTATGTAACATTTTCAACTCTCAAGTTTTAATAAGTTGGAGGACAATAATAGTTCTTTAGGCTGTAGAAGTTATAGAGCCCCATTTTATGGTATAATTAAGGATTCGACAAAAACTGAAATAAGTAGCTTAAAGCCTCTCATAACAGAGAGAAAGCACATAATTATTTTATTTACAGGGATAGAGTTGAACCTGGAAAAAAACTGTTGACGTGTTTTGATGATATGATCCAATATTAAGGGTGAAGGAAGAAATTTCAGGTGATATTAGCACTATCTGTGGCTCAAGTTGCACAAGTTGTTAACATTGTATTGGTCAATTTGGAAAGTTACAAGAATGGGTGGGTGCTGACTTCCTTATCTCTAGAAGGATATGAAGGCCAGAGGGAGAGGAGGTTTTGAAAACTACCTCTTGTTTCAACAGAAAGCCTGTCCTGCTGATAAATTTTCCTCTAAATACTTTGTGGTTTGTTCTCATAAGCCGCCTGCATTAGCAAAACATTCCCAATTTTGAACTGCTGTCAATGTCTCACATGATTACTTGTGATTCCAAACTTCAAATTTGATTTGTTTTTGAAAGTTTTGCACCATTTAAAGCATCTTCTGGTGAAAACAGATGAAATAAGAAAGTGAGGAACCGTGTGGTATTATTTGTTCACCGGAGCATCAGCAGCAGACACTGCTGTGAACTAGTATTTACCCTTTTACACATTTCTACTTTTTGCTTTGTCTCTGTCAAAAGTTCATGTTTTGAATCATCAAAACTAACTGAAATCTCAAAGATAAAGAGAGTGAAAACAGAATATCATTTGAGATTATATTTAAGGAGAAACAGCTTCTGAACCAAAATATTTTTTTTTAAATGGCTTCCAGTGGAGAGTTCTAGGCCCAACAGAACACAAAGATCATCTTCTCAATGGTCGAGGAACATCTTGATGAGTCATGGGAAAGTATTCTGTAGTAGACAGATGAGATAAAAATGTTATGGTCTGGAAGAAGAGCATCCAATTACATCTGTGGTAGAATGGAAACTCTGGTGTGTTTTGAACACATTTGTGATGGGACACCGCCCCAAAAGCAGGAAGCAGGAAGCGGACTACAGCGCAGGGCATTCTGGGTAAATACAACCAAAAACAAACGCAAGAGTCGAGCATGAGCATAAGAAATGGCTTATGGTCTTCTGCCAAAGACAGAAGAAACATTCTGACGCTACTCTGTTGTTATTTACATTTCACAAAAGAGGAAGCTGCACTCAGGTTTTCTTCTCAGGTTTTCCATGTCATTTCCTTCAGAGAACGTCGGTGCGGCGCCCCCATATGCGAGGGGGGGAAGAGGAGGGTTTTTCAAAAGGTTTGGATTGTTGTGAAATCGATCCACAGGAGCTCAAAAATTAACAAAAGTTGCAATTTTGGTTCCCGATCGAACCGAGTCTGCCCGACTATCAGGTGTGAAAACTTCCATGAGGATTGAGTTGTTTTTTTTTTTATTTATTTGAGCAGAACGTAGTAACCCAGTTCCCTGGTACTCACCATCAAGTAAGAGATGCACCACACTGACAGATAAAATAGATTTTATTTTTCAGTTCTAGAGCACCTGACTTTTTCTGTTGCCACCCTGGTCAAGTGCCACTGAGTGAGACGTGATTCACTCCAAAAATAACTGATTAGACTTTAATTAGCATTTCAGCTCACTGATCATTTCAAATCTAAACTGTTTAGATAGGGTTGGTGAAAGTTTTGGTAGAAGAAGTAACGAATGCAGGTTCTTCATGAAACTCATATCACCAGGTGCACCATGTTGGCCATTCTGCGCTCCTCCCCCCCCCAATCCCAAACTCCATAAATGAAGTGCATTTCTATTTCAGTTAGTAGGTCACCAGGCCTCGTGCGGAGCCAAGATTTCTGCAAGGCGAACGCAGCTGAACGCCTCAGCCAGCTGTTACAACCACAAACGTCAGAAAGACTTCTCAGGATTTAGTAAAATACGGCAGGAGGGTGAGTGTATGTAGAAGAAAACATGCACTGGGTTTTCAAATAAGAATCTTAAGACGTGTACCAGCTTCCCTGGATTCAGTATTTGGACTTTTTTTGTTGTTGTTTGTTTGTTTGTTGGTTGGGTTGTTTTTTTTTTTTTTTGCTGCAACCAGTTTTGGATGCAAAACCGTTTCTCAGTTTCCCATCCCAAGCGGATAAACTTGAAAAGTTAAAGTAGTTTTAAAAAACCCTGCAGGTGCAGAAGCTCTATATTCAACTCTGCTCCTTATCTGCCTCAGGTGTATTCTGTCTGCGCCGCCATACGTCTGTAAAACCAGTCGTTCAGTCAGACCCTCTCTGTCGTCGTATAAGCGTATGGAAATTGTAAAAACCGCTGGCAGCTTTACTTTCACCAAAATGAACTGAATCCGTCCAGCAGTGCAGTGCAAATATGTAAATATCTCATCATGCTTGCCACTATTTTCTCCCCACTTTGGCTCCAAAATAAACAAAAACGCTGATTCTTTTGCACATATGGTTTTTCTTGGTTCAGCAACTCGGCCAAGAGAAAACTGTTTGTCCATTCTGAACCGTGCGAGGTGAAGATTCTGTTCCTCTCTCAAAAGACGAGGCTAGAAAATATTAGGAATTTCACCATAAGTAGATTCAGAGTCAAACTAATACTTGAAGAATGAAATGAAAAAAAACAAAACATAAATATGCAACTAGTTATAAAATTCCGATGTAAAAGAATATGATGGGAAAGACTTAAAACACAGAGACAAATGTTGGACTTTCAAATATACAGAAAACCACAAGTTTAAGATTATTTATGTTCCAAATTAGGATTTTAAATTGTAAGAATTTTGAATGATCAAAGCTAGAGCTAATTGACACAATTCTATCAAATTTCTTTTGCAAAGCAAAACGTATCAAACTCGGTAGAATATTACAGTATGAGACAGATAATTAATTGTCGAAGCACTTTAAAAGAAGAAAACAAACATTAAAACTATGTAGTTTACTAATTATCCTAACGAATTCTAAATTTGTATTTCTTTAAAATGAATCCAACTGTTCCATCTTAGCTCTTTATATGTCAAAACAAAAAAATAAATAAATAAAAGAGAAATTGTAAATGAACCTTATATTGCTGACAACAAAGGGACAGTAAAATGTGATAGTATGCACATAAATTTTGTTCACCTTTATTTATTTATTTTTAGCATTCGAAAACAGTCAACATCAATCTTCTGCTTGAATAAGATAAGTTTCATGACAAGGCTGTTACAAAAAACAAAACAAAAAATATAATAATAATTGTGATGAAAATAAAAACAACAAAGTATTGTAACACCATGCTGCCCCGGTGCGCGCGCACGCCCTGGGAGACGGAGTGTTTTTTTACGCCCGTGCTCTGACCGTCGTTCGCTTTCAAAAACTCCTCATTTCTGGCGCAGACTTTGCGCCAAACGTAACAAGAGTCGCGGGTTATCCATAAAGCAAAGCAGCATGGTTTTAAAAATCGCTTTTTGTGAGAGGAACGTGAAGCGACGCTGCCTTTGCAACTTTAGGTGCGTCAACGATTCTTGCACCATGTTTAGAGATGAGGGGGCTGAAAGGCAAGGAAAAGAAACGCAACAACAAATAATCATCTGAGAAGTTGATGTTTCCAATAGCGACAACCAAAGGGGGGAACATAAGGAGCCTTCACCCCTCCCTCCTTTCCTCCCTCCCTCCACCTCATCGTCAGAACGCGCTGCTGTAACACGAAGCTACTGCTGCTGCTGCTTCTCCACTGACTCACATGGTTGGAAATTTCCATTCTGCTAGACGCTGAGGAGCTGGGAGTCCTGGTCTCAGAGGTCCTGCTCTCCATCTGGCCGCCGCAGCTGCGCTCCGCCGCCACCGTCATATAAGGTAAGCCCCGAGCACTGACCGCCACTTCTTTACTTTGGTCCGGGGCTCTTTTCTGCCTCTCTTCTTCCTCCCCCAGCGCCCTTTTGGGGGGCGATTATCCGGACACCATATTTTGACGCTGTGGAAGCGGGTCGTTTGATGCAGGACCGCCGCTCCGTGCGCAACGCTGCAGATCTGATCAGAAATGTATTTTTTGTAACTTCTTTTGTTTGTTTGTTTTTTCGGTTTGAAAAGAACTGCAAAAATTTACCCTACCTCAGTGTTTTTATCGGCTAAATCTAAGCTTCCTTTTCACGTTGTGGTTTCGCTGTTGAGCTCAGCAACGATGCATCGCTCATTATTTAGTAAAAGCAACACATCGTGCTTGTGTTGATATTTTGTTTTGTTTTTTTTCTTTTTTCCTTAAAGCAACCAGGTGATTTTCTGCACCAGAACCAATCCTTGCACGCTTCTACTGAGTTTTGCTTTCTCTTCTCTGGAAAAGAGCAGCAGCTGGAGGCTTCTTTGTGTCTGCTGCACAAAAAAAAAACAAAAACAAATCATACACACTCATCTGATCAAGATAAACAGGAATTCAAATTTATGTAATCAAGAGAAAGAAAGTAACCAGGGACTAATAGCTGTGCTGTGACTCCAGTCACAGGCTTCACTGTCATGCTTTGTGTTACGCAACGTGTTTGCATGAGCATACCTTTAATTTGATTTTCAATAGAAGTGCTGAAGTTCCTCTGAAGGCCCCGGCTGCCTCTGATGTCCACAATAAAACAACAAGGATGGGTTTTGATGCTGTCCCGGGTGATTTAGGACCCTCTAGAGCGGAAACATGAGCAGATTGCTCGGATGCTTTGCATGCTTCCTTCTCGGTTGTTTACCAGGAGTTTTAATCAAGCAAGAGCTCTTTCTGTAATCTTCAAATTGAACATTTTACTACAGAGAGCTGGGAACCAAGGTACCAGTCTGGCTGTATGAATGTATTTTGTGGTGACTTTGGGTCCTGCCAGTAGCATTCTGGAAGCTAAATATACCTCGTTTCCACACAGTTTCTTCTCAGTTTCAAGCCAGTTTGAGTTTTTTTTTCTCTTCTTTTTATTACTTACATAATAGCATTGAAGTTTCCCTAAACGAAGCTCCACCCACAACACTCTAGATTGTTCTAGTCTGAGGTGTAAGAGAAGCCAAGTGGGTGGGATTTGTGGCAGCAGCGGTGATGTAGCTCGCCGCTGTTGAGCTACAGCGGCGAGCTACATCACCGCTGTAGCCTAAAACCTCCTGGGAGGTTTTGCAAAAACTTTGTGTACTCAGAATCAGTATGATCTTTTCCTGATTGTTTTTTTTTTATTTAGGAAGCACCAATGATTGACAAGGGTTTAGCTCTAGGAAATGAAATCAATGAAGGACCCCCCCTCAAAACAAGACTTCCTTTTAGGTAGAACTTTCTTCAGCGTCTTTCACAAAACACCCCAAGCCATTGGAGTGTTTACCTTGGAGGAAGTCTTTTTTTTTCATTCTCCTAATTCTCAGAAGTCAAACTTTCTATGTCTAAAGTCATAAATCGACCATATTTTGTTGCTCAACAAAGTATAGGTGTTGAGCAACCATATTTTCAGTTGCTCAACAACTGAAAATATGGTCTTCGGTGTGGCCACCGGACATAGAACCCAGTGAACGGTGCCAGTCATTTAGCATCTCTGGCAGATTGTATGTCTGACAGGCATAATACTGCGCAACCACGATTTGTAATCATGTTCTTTTGGTGTTTGAACAAATGCCAGCCTTCCATTGCTAATGTTTTTAGCACAACCACAAGGAAGTCCCTCTCATCCTCCCTCAGCTTGAACACGCTCAACTCGGGTGTCGCATCCTTCCAAGGTCCGGCTTCTGCGACCAACTGAATACTGCATAGTAGACGTCCGCTCACGGCCTCTGGGTGTTTTTTAAAAGGACAGAGACAATGTGGAGTCAATGTGGTTGAAGTCAACTTATGTTGATGTTGCCGTGAATGATGCGACCAGCTGGCCAATGGGTTTAAGGCAAGAACAGTTTGTAGCCTTCGAGGTGGACTGAGTCAGGCATTGCAGCAAAGTGTGCCAAGACGGAACAGATGACTGGTCTTGAGCCAAGGGTACTTCCCTAAGCAGAGGTGACTCTTATCAATTTATCAAATCTGATGAGGTTTGTTGTTGTGGCTTGATGGTTGTTTTTGCTTTTTCACATTGATATTTTCAATTGACTAATAAGCAAGAGGCACAATTTGTGACACAAAATGCTCGACAAACAGACCATAAAGCAGACAGAAAGAGCTTCCGGAACAGAAGGTTCTTTCAACTTCTTGAGAGAAATGGGAACTAGGGGCCTCACGACATACCTAGAGTATGTAGGGCAGCCATTTCCTCAGCAAGGCCTTTCCTCTGTTTGCATCCTCACCACAAATAGCATAACATAGGAGATCTCGAAGGTCAGAATACAAATCATAATCTCTCTCGCAAATTTAGGGTCAACCTGCAGGCTTCACTCTGACTTTGATAGACAGAGGCTTTGTCCAGTCACCTGCTGGGTGTTCTTTATAAAGCGTCATTCCCTAAATCGTTTTTACAGAGGTCAAGAGAGCTGTATGAAAGAGGCCCGAAGGACAAAAGCATGGCAAGAGAATGCCAATTGTTTTTCCACTACCTTGTAAAGCACCAAAGTTGCAGCTGTAGAACATAGACGGTTCGAAGACTCAGTGGAGTCTATGGTAAAAATGCATAAACCTTTCTAATCTGGTCCCTTAAGACATAATTTCAAGAGACCAGATTAGAAAAAGATTTTAACTTTGTTTATTCAGATATTCTGCATGTAAAACGCACCACAAAGATTCCAGTAGCAGTCCAGCCTGAATCACCAATAGAGACTGGAATACCAGCACAGACGGGAGCACCTGTTCTATAAATGCTGGAGGCTCGCCATGGATCTGTGCTTCTATTTGGCTCTGAAATGTCGGTCAGAGCCTGCCGTGCGGCTGCCGGCCGAGGCTGAACTGATGTAACCTGGACTGCAAATGGCCAAAAGAGCTGCAAGCCAGATGTGGATTCAGTTTCAAGGGAGCGAATATCAATAGCACAAAGGGTTCCGAGCGGCGTTTGGCGGTTTGTCAGGAAGCTGTCGTCACGTTCTGTTAAAATCTGGTACAAAAAAAAAAAAAAAGTCTTTCGGTGAGTTGAGACGTGGAGAGAAACAGAGGTTATGATCAGATCAATGTAAAAGTATGATGGCTTTTAAGGTTTATTGCTTTTGTTAATTTCTTGAGTATTAAACTGTCTTGTCCTCAGTGGTTCAGTCATAATGGTAGACCACTGAAAATCCCAGATTTTTTTTTTTTACTAAATTTTTTTCTTTGCATGTTTTTCATCCAGAAATTTATGTTAAAACACAAATACAAACATACCAAGATGTATTTGTGACTATTGGAGTAATTGGTCACTTGTATACTCCCAAATAGAGAGCTCTCTTCTGTAGAGAAGCCAAAACGGGTCACATTTTGGAAAGTACTAATTCTCTCATGCTAACTATGAGATGCGCTTTCTCCTGAGGTTGTACAAAAGCTTTAAAATTAACTTTGGTGAAGCTGGAAAATACCTAATTAAGAAATAATGTTTTTTTTTCCTTCTAATGACTCCGGTGTTCAGTTATATATGTATACTAAACTCAAGGTTGCTAGCATCAGCTGTGTAAGAAAAAAAAAAAAAGAAAACAAGATGGTGGCGTCATTTACACAAGGAGAGATCGATAGCCACTGATAAGATCGACAGAGGTGGTCTGTCGAGTTCATTGTGGACCAGAGCAAACTGGGATTATGTACAAAAGGGCAGGATGATGTTTGCTTTAAAGCCAGATAGCCTTGAACGTCACATAAAGAGACTAAAGTCAGAGGTTTTTGATTTATTTCAGACTAATCTCTGAGGTCATAAAACTTTCCATTCAGACGGTTTCTTTGTGTCAGAAATCTCTGAGCCGTTTTGAAACGTCTATCGCAAAACGCGTCACATGATGACTAAACGTCCCCTGATCTCTTCCGTCCCGGTGGACTGTACAAGGCGTGTTGCACCACGACAACATGGGTGTTGTCACATGGTCGTTGACCCATTTGTTATTGGTACATCCAACCTTTGAGTCCCAAAGCCGACTAGCCTTTACGTATGTCTCGGTGCCGTCGCCATCTAACTTGACAACTTGAAGGATTTCAATTCTCCTCAAAGTCTGTAATCAAATTTCCAAGCAGTTGTTATTTCTTTAGGCACTGACCCAACTCAAGTGGACAAATACAGCCAGCAAGATCATAACAGTTGCTGATCATCTGCGTCAGAAAGTGTCAACCTTTGTTTTGAATGTCCACACACACACGCAAAGGCGCTCGTGGATGTTAACAGCGGAATGAAAGCCAGGACTGGCTTTTTTTTCTTTTTTTTTTTTCTGTCCAGTTCCCCGTATGCAAAGCAGATCTCGCTTATAAGTAGAGGTGACTGCAGCACTGTTGGTTTCAAGAAGTGACTGAAGAGGTTGGACAGGGAGACTTCTCAAGAGAGATGCAGAGGGAAGTGGAAAGCATTACATCAGAAGCACCGATGCTGTCTAAAGTGGAAAAATGTATCGGGAGTTGGTTGTTAAGCTGAGACAAAATAATACTCCATTGGAAGTGTTTGTCACAGATTGCTCCCAGTGTTGAAATTCTTTTCTTCCAGCTTGAATGTAGAGATGGATCCATGTTGTCGGCCCAGAGAAACATTGATATTTTTAGGTGTGCAACATCTGCTATATCTGTCCTCAAACATCGCCACCCTCCACCTCCTGTTGGGGTGACGCCAGCTCATTGACACATTCTGGTCGCAGGTGATTGGCTAAATACCCATGTGAAGACCCCCCATACACTTAAAGGACAGCAGAGCCGTCTATGGAATGCACCCTGCAGCCGCTCCGCAAGTCATGGTTGGGAGTTTATCTATTTATAGGAATTTGTGTTTTGCTTCTTATTTAAAGGAACCTTAGAAGACGATACAGAGAAACGGAGTGTGCTTATTTTGTTGTTGTATAGTTTTGAATTCAAATTTTGATAAACCTACGGACGCCAACATTAACTCATCGAAAATTGTTATAAACTCCCTCCTCTAATGTTTGGACGAAACTTCATTTTTATGCATGCGGTAGCAAATCTAACATTTTCCATATTTTTTTTTAATTACAAACTAATTAACTGAAATCATACAGTGCCACTGTACTGTAACTATAGCAACATTCCAGCTGCCATATTGGATTAACACGTGAACCTGAAGCCTTTAGGCTTTACGATTCTACCTTCAGGAAATATTCCAGCAGATTTTTCGGACTTGCATTTCCAAGCCTTAATGAAATACCACTTCATCTACATTCCACAGGTTGATGGTTTAGGTCGAAACATGGGATCAAATTTTCATTTTGATTCTCTAGAAGTTGGAAAAGAAATTGAAGCACTCAGCAGTCATCCAGCTCCTCCCAGCTGTTTTTCAGGTATGAGTCGGTCCGGCGGTGCGATCCTTTGGCGTGCGTGTTCTCCGGCGTTACGACAGAGATAAAGAACCCCCGCATTGACGCGAACATGACCTTGGCGAGAGCAACATCCCTGCAGCTCTTCCCTCCGATTGGTCAGGCAGCGGCACGGCCTACCCTACCAAACCCTACCAAACCCCCACACACACACATACTGAGTGTGTGTGGATGACTTCTCTGTATGTGTGTGTAATGGGTCGACCATTATCAGTAAGTGGTCTCAGATCGGTTCCAGAGTGTTTGACCGGACTACGTTTTCTAGAGAATAAAACCGATGAACAGGTCATGTGGTGTGTCACATGACCGTATCTTGAGGGCATTGAGGGTATTTAAACTGGTAGACCCGATGACTTCAGTCTGATGGTGGCGGATGTGGTGTCAGTACCCTGTCTGTCAGTTTGTCAACCCATACATCTGTTTGTATCTGGGTTTTTTTTCTGCCTTCCACAAAGGAGGGGCCCACGCAAAGTGGGATCGCCCTCATAGGCTGAGCGCGGCCCTCCCTCTTCCCCTTTAAAACGCCGACACCTTACCTGAGTTTCACCAAAGAGCCGCCCCTCCTCGTTTCAGTCGCTCATCCGTCTTCTGTCTTTTGGCTTTAAATAAACTGTTTCAAAAGAGAAAAGCACGGCGCCGGGCGGATCGGACCCTCTTTCAGAACCATCTCAGTAAGTGAGCCTAAATGTTCACTGTGTTAAATATTATGCAGAGGGATTTTAGGTGAAGATTTAAAAAAAACAGACAAAAAAAAAACCTAGCAGCATGGCTGAGTGTTTAATTTTCATGTTTTCTCTGGAAAATGATTGCGTTTGCTTGCATGTGTTTTTGCTTTATTTTGTGGGAGGTCAACAACAAAAATGGAGCTCTTTCAAAAGTCTGACCCATGCAATGCCTGAGAGTATTTTGCAGACGGTTGATGCAGGAGTTTGCTTTGGGTGGAGAACAGACAAGAGTTTTATCCAAACACGCGTTTGGATGAAACATATGCAGAAATCACATCAATATATGCTGTAAACCTAAATGAGACGTAATGAATTGCAGCCACTAGATCCGTCTTTGTCTACTGAGAATATTTGTGCATGTGAGTTTACTTTCTATGTGCACACAAGCATGAATTCATTTGCATGAGAAATCTGTGACGCCTCGTTTAAACAATGCAGTTTTATTTTATTTTTTCTGAATCATCAGCATTAATTGAAGAAGATAAATGCAACTGTTTAATCATGTGAAGGTGCCATACATGAAGTGTTGATAGTGCGCATTAACTCACAGTTTCAGCTGTAAAACAGGAACCATAATCACAAATGAGACTTTGACAGATTTTCAACTCGGATCGCTTTGTGAAGTGACTTCTGCAATCTGTTTTAGTTTCCGTCTCCCTTGCTGCATACAAGACTTATTTTAAAGTATGTTCCTCAGCATTCTTCTTGTCATGTGAAATTAACCCGGTGAGACAGGTTGATCCCCTTCTGGCAGCAACTGGCGCAAAAAGCGGTGATTGTTGGAGAACCCGGGTGTGTGATCGTTGTGGTAATGGAGCCTCTAAATCTCCTTTAGATAAAAAGGATTCCAAGGGTTTTATTGTGACAGAGCTATGAAAACAGGAAGAGTGACAGTCGGCCAGCGACGCCGACATCATCTGCAGGAAAGTGTCATGCTGTGGGCCAACCTGGTGGAGGCGGACTCACATGTGGCTACTTTTGTTTGGATAATGATCCTGTTGCTAAATAAAAATCTTTGTGCTGGTATCCACTTGACTCTATTGCATCATATTGCATATTAGTAATGCAATATGATGCAAATAGCCTCTTGCCCAAACACTTCCTTCTTAAAACTGTTGATTCAAAAACCTTGTGCTATTTTTTTCAAATTCTTTTTAAGCTTAAATAACTTGTGGAAAGGAGCTGGTACTGCTGAATGATATTTAACTTGTATATACAATTGGATATTTGATGTTAAAAGATTTATTGTATTAATCTTTGACTTTTATTTGAGTTTAAAAGAGCATAAAAACACTTAAATATGGACTTAAATATGTTTTATATTAAGGGAATAGTTTACAGTTCGACTCAGGTTAGAAAAGCAGTCAGATTGGCTAATTGTTAGTAATTTCTCTCATCATTGCATAGCTAGCAATGCTATCAGCTTGTAATTCTGATAAAAAGCTAGTAATGCCATCATGTTGGCTTATAGCTCCGAATGCTATCAGTTTCTTTCAGACTCTTCAGCAACAAGCTTTCAATCGAAGGTTTGGTCGTACAATGATTTTCTTTATGAGTTATTGTGATTTAACGCATCAAAAGTACAAATTACCAAAGCTGTTGAAGTTTTTACGTGTATGGCAGTCATATTGGATTCTACAAAAGATTTTTGTCACTGACCTCCAGTGGTTCAAAGTCCTAATGAGATGTCAGAGGAATTGCCAGTTTTTTGTGCTTGATACATTCTCTTGCAATGTGAGCTAGTGCTTGCCCCTCCCCCATCCGTTGCTGAACATTGCTGGTCAGCTGTCTCAAAGGAAATATTTTCCACGCCTAAAATAAAGACAAATTTAGGATTTTGAAAATAATTTGACCGCAAAAAAAACAAATAAACGATCCAGATACTCGGCTACAATGAAATAGAATATTCTTATAGCTTCTTCTTGATTGATCACCGTAGCAAAACATTTGATTGGTGAAAAACATGAGAGGAAAAAGCCACTTAACTGATATTTACTACTATGAGGATTTTCCAGGAGTTCTGAACTGGAGTTTTCTTGTGAGGTAAGAAATGTTAGGACAAGAAGGAACCTTTTAATTTTTGCCTGGTGGAATAAATTTGTTTCCATTTATTTTTAAAAAATTTTTGTGGCGTGCGTAGATGTGCCACTTATTGGTGTCATTAAGGGAGAGTGGACCAAGCGTACCGTATGTTTATTGCAACTGCTGAAGTTGTTTGTTTATTGAAATTATCCGGTCGCCGAACATGGGTTCTGAGTTGTTGGTTATATCCAGACATGTAGTAATAGCAACACGCATGAAACACGTGAAGTCACTCTTTGTAGGGAAGAAAAAACTGACAAGTCTTCACAGTCGGTGTAGTTATACCCATAGCTCGGACTTACTCGGTTGTTTGTTTCTTCTTTGGTCGGCGTGTTCCCGTCGTGGATCTTTTTCCTCGGATTGAGTCAAAGGGTTCTTTGTGTGAAAGACAAACAACACTGTAAATCATTTTAGCGGTAGCTGCATTAGAATCATGCCTGTTTAATTCCCCGGCTTTGACCTCTTGATTACACAACATATTGATCAGCAGCACAGACAGAACACAGAAAGCAAGTCCTCGGTTCGGCGCCTCCTGTTTTCTGTTGTTAAATTTGAATTAAACAAGTGAAAGTCAACATGCACTTTGAACGCTGTCGTGTCCTAAACTTTGGTACGGCAACGTCTTCATTTCAACGTCACCTTGGAGATGTTGGACTTTTTTTCTGTTTCTCTTGTCTTCTTCATCGAGGCCAAAAGGCTCTGGGGGAGGCTGATAAGATGGCCAACATACCGCAGTTCAGGTCTGCAATCAGCTGCATATTGCCACTCCTTTTTGTCAACTTTTCGTTTTTAGCCCTTTTGGAGAAAAACACATTCGGGTGAAGAGCTCAGCAGGTCTGAACAGAAATCTAAATAGCTCAGACTTACACTTGTTCTTTTCTCTGTTTTATTTTTAGGTTGTTTTTTTTTTTTAAATTTCTAGGGTGTCAACTTTCAGTCAAGCTTGAAGAAGAAACATTTTGTGTAAACTCCGTGACGACTGCGCGCCGAACGATCGACCGAAACAAAGGATCTTCGCCTCTCGTCCCGCCGACTCCGTCATAATGCCTGGAGTTAGGGAACTCATGGAGCTGAGGAGGGTCCCCACGCAGGGTGATGATGACAGCACCGCCAGCTTGGACGAGCATTTCACAAGCACCACTGATGTGGAGAAGTCCACCATCGCCAGGTCAGCAAAACAAAAAACCCATCCCAATAGGCAACAGGAGGTACCTTTAGTTACTCTAGATGTTTCAGATCACCAAAGAAATGGAAATATCACACAATTTGTCCGAGCAAAAACAGAAAGCATTTATTCAAATGAAAATCATTTAAATATTGAAGGGAAGAAATCTATCCAGACCAACCCAATCCTATGCAAAAAAAATAATAATAATTGCTCACTAAATCTAATGCTGTCATTAAGTGTTTGTTATTTCTGGAGGATTTTTGCTCAACTGAATTTGTTTGAATTCAACTAAATGGAAGTCCAGGCTTTGACTGTGTCACACCAAAACCTTTAATTTGCCGTTTCGGGGCCGATGGAGGAGGCTGCCACTCAGAGCTACACTTGTTGGTGTGCTTTAGTTCAGTGTTTTGCTAAATAAGGGTAGGTTTCCAGTAGAGAGCAAAATTAATGGTTCTGTCGCTTCAAACCCTGTGAAAGGCCTCTAATACTCCCTGTAAGATTCCAGTGTATCCTAAAGACTCGTTTTCTTGGTTTTCCAGCAGGCAATATTTGGACGAAAACAACGATGAGGAAGAAGAGAGGTTCTTATCAAACGGGCTGATGAAGAAGAAGAAATATGAGGAAGAATATGTAAGAGAACTCATCCGTCTCTACAAGCAAGTTGACCAACATTAAAATAACGAAGCTGTAAACTCTCCAACTTTTCTCTCGGCCAGCATCCGGGCCACGCCTCCTTCGGCATGTCGGTCTTCAACCTGAGCAACGCCATCATGGGCAGCGGCATCCTGGGCCTGTCCTACGCCATGGCCAACACCGGCATCGTTCTCTTTACGTAAGTCCAGAGACGCCTTCTCGTTGCATAAAGAGCGTTGTGACATTTATGTGTGCATGACTCACATTGGGAAGTGGTGTTGCTCACAGGGATATTGTTAATGTGTTCATGCATTGACCCTTTGCTACTGCGTCACTCAGTCATGAGGTGCCGTGACGGACATCAGAAGTGAGGGATGGCAGTGTTGGACAGAGCAACTGAGGTTGATGTCTTTTCCTGAATAGAATTAGCTTCTACTAGTTCAAGTCGAGTTAGGGTGACGATATCTACAAAAATTGGAAATAACCTTCTTCCTTCTCGTGTATTTAATGATTTGATCAAATTGTCAACTTTGCCTGAATTCAGCAAACAAAAGCTTTAGCTGTCCTCATTACAAGTCATTCAAGAATTTTTTTCCAACCGCTCAGCACCTATGGCCATTGATCAATCAACTAAATCAAAGCAATATTAGGTTACCACCTGGTAGTTTTGATGTCCGTCATGGCCAGTCATGGAGTAGTCCATGGCCAATAACATTCGATCATGTGTCGTCTTGTTGTCGATTGGTCCAACAATGGGCAGGCCGTCCTCACTGAGACTGGCAGCATCTGTCCTCAAACATTATTAGCAGGATCAGCTATGAGACAAAGCTCTACCTTCAAGTCCCAGCGAGTTGGATAGAATCTGCTGCTGGAGGCGGCTCCAGCTGTAAATGCTCTGTCCCCTATTTTTAGCAGCCAAACGCCAAGTTGCTCCGACATGACCCTACAAAGGTCATCCAAGAACCAGGCTAAAGTTGACAGGACACCGTGTCCCATAAGGGACCAAATGACACACATCCCAGAGAGACTTTTCTGTCGTATTTAACTGAAAAAGCATGAGAACGTGCTTCACTTTCACTCTCTGTCTGTCTTTGTGTGCAGAATCCTCCTGGTCGCTGTGGCCACTCTCTCCTTATACTCTGTTCATCTTCTCCTCATGACGGCAAAAGAAGGAGGTTGGTGTTAACACTTGACATGCGTCTTGAGAATGCGGACATGTTCGCCTGCTTTATTTTAGCAGTTTTTTGGGAAGTGGTGGGGAGAAAAACAGCATACACTTGAATGTCTTCATGTTTCCGCTTGTCTGCTCGGGCAGGATCTCTGATCTACGAGACGCTGGGGCACAAAGCGTTCGGTTGGCCGGGAAAGATGGCTGCCTTCATATCGATAATCATGCAGAACATCGGAGGTAAATGTGAATCCGTAGCGCGTGTGAGAATCTGTCTGGACCTGGTGTTAAAGTTTGTCTTGGGTCAAATTTGTCATAATTGGAGCCTTTCAGGAATGTGTTGGCCTGCTTCCAGCCACGTCCCTATGAGAGCTTTAATCTATCCATATCGAGTTTAGAAATTTATATTTAGAGATGTAATTTAATCAGAGTAGAGGATAATGTGATTGGCACATTTCACAGTTAAAATAAAAACACTGGATTATGGGTGAAAGATCAACACACAATAATGCTTTTAACGGTGAAGCTGAAGGGAAAGATGCATCTTTTTGTTTAAAAAAAAAAAAGAAGTTAATATTCTAAAGTGAATATGTTGGTTTAGATTTGTATTCAGCCCCTCTGTGTTAACACAATGCATGTGTCCCATCACCATGATGCTGCCACCACCAGATTTAACCCCACCTAGCGTCTTGCTAGCATTCGCTTGTAGTGACCTGTGTGGCACTTCTCGAGAATTTCCTTTAGAAATTCTTGAGAAGAGGCACTTCTTGAGAAGTGCATAAATGCATAGATCGAAAACTTTAACACGATACGCCACAATGATGCACGACACACAGTAAAGTACACTGGATTTGGAGTTTGGTCCTCAAAAAAAAAGAAAGATAAGAAATAGAAAACGGATACTGATACTTCACTAAAAGGAGAACAGGAGAAACGGAATTTCAAAAGGAAATTTGAAATTCCATTAATAAAGAACAGATCTTTAGAGTCCTATTTAGTTACAGTCAGCCTCTTGGAAGCTCCTTTGATAAATTCAAGATACTAAGTGCTCTAAATATGTTAATGACTCAGGATGAATTTATGCAGATCCAAAGCGTTACCTATCGACATGCTTGTCCTCTTGCAGCCATGTCCAGCTACCTCTTCATCGTGAAGTACGAGCTCCCTGAAGTCATCCGAACCTTCTTACGCTTAGAGGAGAATTCAGGGTGAGGTCTCCCCTCTGGGATTTTGAGCATTTTTACGTTATCTTTTTAAGCATTCCTTGTTCTTGCGGTCTCAAACTTGAGTTCCGTTTGCAGGGAATGGTACCTGAACGGCAACTACCTGGTGGTATTCGTGTCCATCGGAATTATTTTGCCGTTGTCCCTCCTGAAAAATTTGGGTAAGGACAAATCCTGTTTCACTGTCCGTTCAGCGAGGTTCTCACTGAAACGAGAGGAAAAACAGGCTTTAGTAATTACATAAACAATATAAATGGGTTATAATCTAAAACGTAATAATTTTTTTCTCTCTCTAGGTTACCTGGGCTACACCAGTGGTTTTTCATTGTCTTGTATGGTCTTCTTCCTGGCTGTGGTAAGTTGAGCCTGTTCGTAATTTGCTGTTAGATTCGTTTCTATTTTTGGAAAAGATGAGACTTTCTTTTAACGTATCTTTAATGCTTCATAAGCGTGAACTAAGTACTGTGAATAATGACTCAAACAATGTTTGACGCAATTAAAACCTAAAAGTAGAAGACAGTCTAGAGTTGGTTACTTGTTGCCAAGTTATGGCAACATTCCATGTCTACAAGCGTTTTCCTTTAACTCGTTTTTATTACAGCGCTTTCACTGCATCGACTTCAACTTCCTTCTCTCTACTCAGACGTACAGCTTTCCTAAAAGGTTGCTAGGCAACATGGAAAATAAGTTTTACCAGCCTGTTTGAACATGTTGGGGTTTGTTAAAACCCCAGGAATCTGCAAATGAATGAAAAGCATCACAGTAAGAGTCAGTAACTCCCCACTTTATAGCCGTAATCTGGAATAAATTGAAAAAAAAAATATTGTCAATGAGAAATAATTGAAGTTCATAAAAATATTTTTTTTAAAACTCTGACTATGGAGTTTAATTTTGCTTTGAAAATGAAGCTAACGGTTCAGCTAACATAAGCTAGGTGCTATCTTCACGTACTAACAAGCAGTTTGTTTTCATTTAGCCCTTCATTTCCCACAAAGAGCCAAAGTTTGCTATTATATAACATGAAGAAAGAACAAAAAAGTCATTTTAACTGTTGGAAATGTACATTTTCTGGCATGTTAGCTTGCAGCTGCTCCTGATTGTTTCATTATTTGTTTCATGTGCCCTCAAGTTGCCAATACACATTGCTAACTTAGTGAACAACGTGGTTGGCTTGTGAATTAGTGTTACACAGTAATACATGTTTTTAACCGTTTTTCTTTATGATATGAACAGATAAATATTAGAAATAATGTGTCTATACAGTTGAAACAAAGTTTTTATTTGCAGTATTTTTTTTATTTTTTTTTACGGTCTTGACTTGAATCAAACTGAGCTGTTTTTAGCTTAGTAAGACCTACCAAAGTTGTTTGGTTGATAATGTCTTTTTTACTTTTCTTTTGCGTCTCCTAGATTATATACAAGAAGACGCAGCTGCCCTGCCCTCTCCCTTTCATGTACTCGTCCAACCTCAGCACGAACGCCAGCGACATTTCCAGGCTGTACGCGCTGCAACACAACACGTCGCAGATGGACTTCTCGCGCGCCGATGTCTCCCCGGTGGTCACCACCGGCCAGGGCGACCACCACACCACGGGCGCAAGCTTCGAGCCTCACCCCGACGACAAGGAGATGTGCAGGCCCAAATACCTCGTCTTCAACTCTCAGGTAGGGGACGAAGGACTGCCAGAGGTCTTCTTCTCAGCTGGGTCTACTTCAAGTAAAGGTTGGATTCCAGGTGTTTGCCGAGACATGTTTGGAAAAGGTGGGTTTGTTTGAGGCGTGTCTTGAACCATTCTGTGGTTATGGATTCATGCCAGGGCTTCAATAATCATAAATCATGATAAGAGTTTGGCCTTATGTGCTTATATTCCCATGTGGACTTAAGGTGAGCCACCTCTGATTCACAAAGGTTTGCGGTTTTTACTCTCCGGGTTCCTACACAAGTAGAAATCCTAGATTTTTTTTATAAGCTTCTTAGAAGAAGCAGCGTTTTTCACCTTTGACCTGAACGAATAGCTCACATGGCATCCGACCAGAACTGGGCCAGCCAAAAAAAGACAGAGCTGTCTCCACTCTTTGTGCAGGGAACCGACATGACTTAGGAAGCACTGAGTGGGGTTTATCTGTTTTGGTGCATTTTCCACGTTTTGCAAAATAAAATGGATTTGGCTGCACTTTACTGGATATTTTAATGCAACAATCACAATTCATACACTTTTGAATTTGTGTCCCGACAAACCGTGACTCAAGCTCACTCAGATTAGATGGAGAGAATACTGTTTACGTTTTACTACAGATTCTCCATTGGAAATAGGTCTGGATTTAGACTAGACCATTGGACTATGATTCAGGCAGGCTGGCCAGGACTAACGAAGCAAAGTTATAAATCCAAACATTCATCTGCATAGATTTTTTTTTTTTTTTGGTTCTTGGAGCAAACTATGCGTTTATTTTTAATATTTTTCATGAGTACAGAACTTGGGGACACGTTTTTGGTGCTTTAAAAGCGAGAACTCTCTGTGTCAGCGTGTGCTGATGCATTGTGATTGTAAAGCTCATCTCTTCCTCATCTTTTGTTTTTGCTTTGACCCACAGACTGCATACACTGTCCCCATCCTGGCCTTTGCATTTGTCTGCCATCCAGAGGTGCTGCCCATCTACAGCGAGCTAAAAGAGTGAGGGCATTTTCTTTCACAGCGAGAGCTATCGTCCGCTTTTTAGAAAAAAAGAAAAAGTGAAACATTTTAGCTGTGTCGGATAATCATTTGTTTTCTGTGTTTCGCAGCCGAAGTCGGAAAAAAATGCAGCGCGTCTCCAACCTGTCCATCCTGGGCATGCTCATCATGTACATGCTGTCGGCTCTGTTTGGCTACCTCACCTTTTACGGTAAGATGGACATTGTGTTTTATATTCCTATTAAAAACAGTTTCAGGTGAATAAATACTGGCAGGTTTGATTATATTCAGAATTGACTGGACATTTTTGTGAGTGACAGAGAACAAACGATCTGTGAGGAAATACTTTCTACAAGTACTTTCTCTGAACAGGTCAATTGAAGCCCCTCCAGCTAGCGCTAACTGCTGACTTTAAGTGTGACCCGACTGCTTTGTTACACGTCTGTTGCAGACTTCGTGGAGGCCGAGTTGCTGCACACCTTCACCAAAGTTTACAAGTTTGACACCATGCTGCTGCTGGTGCGCCTGGCCGTTCTCACCGCCGTCACGCTCACCGTCCCCATCGTGCTTTTCCCTGTGAGTAAGCCACACTTTGAACACAGCGGCGCTGTGGCTGTTCTGCTTTCTTTGTTTTTGTGTTTGTTTGCCTATATTTAATGAGAGCCTTCTTTAATGAGAGCACCGCCCCTTATTGCAGTGAGGCACGACATCAGATTTCAGTCACTTCCACTTTCATTTGAAAGGGTAACAGTTTGATTTACGTCAGAGTGCGTAAGCACACGTAAACGCACACCGCCCTTTTAAATGTTAAATGCTGCGGTGTGTGTGTGTTCTTTCTTTTCTTTGTGTCATTTTCTGGACGGACTGGGTTTTTTCCGTTGCCACTCTGGGTCGTAGAACATGTTGTCCGCTGGAAACTCTTCCCGTCGTCATTCAGGAACCCAAGCACACAGCCTGTGCTTGTAAAACCCCACACCTCTTTATTGCACATTTAACGTCACATAAAAGATTTCAGCACTGCACTCTGCGCCGGCTAATGTTTTTTTTCCTCAATATCTGCTCATATTGGGTCACGTGACGTGCGTCCTCCAAACCTTATCATCTTACTCCTATTCATTCACACATGCCCCCCTCTTAATTCCATCTCCATATATGGTCACAAGATAATTTTAGACTGGCCCTTATCTGACACCAAGAGAACAAAAAAAAGAGGGCCCACTGGTCAGTGGAAGTTTCCTGCCTCCTTTAGGGTCCAGAACACACACCAACACACACACACTTGAGATAATGACACATTATGCACTTACACATGGCTGCCACAAAGGGGCAGCAAGTTAACTTTTTTCAGCAGAGAGCTGCAGTAGTTTCACAATTTCAGTACAACAGTGGGATTTGAGCTCTAAATCAGCTTTGGTAATCTAGTAATCTGGCTGATGTGTGGGTGTTTTCTTTTGCTTTGTTTGCAAGGTGTGGGAGAACTCCACGTCTCCCACCCTAACAACGGCGCAGTGGAAAAACCCTCACCCTGACCTCCTTTGAGCTATCAGAGGCAGGGAACCGAGGACAAGCAGGCAGGGGGAGGACGATACATTCCTCGACATATCTTGTCTTACAATCCACCGCACTATGGTGTCCGTTCCTCGAAATGTGTTAGTAATGTTGGGAAATGGGCCTCTGGGTGCTTTGAGCTGGGCGAAATGCTTTATAGGGCTTTGGCTTTAAAAGAACATCTTAGTCGAAACACGTTTATAGTGAAAGGAAATTGCCCCGGAATGCGACTCTTGGCTGAAGCTAAGCTGGTTTCTGCATGTAACTTTTTAACTACATGTTACACATTTTAACAGAACCGAGAGCCGCGAATAAATTGTTTAACAGAATGTGCCATTATCTGACATGTTTTCAACTTAATAGTGTTTTACTTTAAACAAACATTTCTATTTTATGGCAAGAAGGAAATATTTTGCAATAGCAATGCATCTTTGCATTTAAATAATGCATGTTTTAATGAACTTGCACGTTACTCAGCCAGTCATATGAAAAGTAACTTTACCAAAACAGAAACACATCGATAAGTAATAACAAAGGTCTATGCTGGCCTTTTGTTTGTATAGCCAGTTGTGTAAACCACAAATCCAGCCACTTTTGGACAAATTTGATTAAAATAATTTCCTGCAGCTAAAGCTGATATTTGGCTTTTGAAATGTTTGTAGTGCTTGTAAAAAGTGAAGCCCAGATGAAAGGAAAACGTTCATATATAAAATAATCAGTTTCATTTTCATGCAAAAGAAGAAAGGTATCAATTATCCCTTTTCAACAAAAAAATGGATAATTGAGGTCAAGGTGATACTCATTTTAAAAAACTCATTGTAGAAAACTAGCAAAAGAAAGAAAACAACTTATTTCTTCATCTTGACAGCTAAATTATTTTATTTAGAAAAACTGGAAATTACTTTCAAGTGAAGGTTTTATGTAATGTTAAATTAAACCTTAAACATTAAGGTTCATTAAGGTTTATGTTTATATTGTACGTGTGTAGAAATATAAGAATTTGAAAGTTTGATAAGAGGCTCAGGTGGGATGCAGAAATGCAGATTTGATGAAAAATCTCATCAAAATCTCTTTGCTTTCCAAACTGGTTTTAACTTGTATACAACTGCAGCTGCAAAGAGACATGAGTCAGAGGCTTTTTACATAAATTAGCTCTAATGGAGAACCTGTCGCTGTCAGCATGCGAATAAACGAGCCAGCTTAGCGCTAAGGGAGCGCAGGACTCCACTGGTGCTTGACATTCTCATTGGAGAGTCGCAGGTGTGCAGAGTCAGGAATGTTTCATTAGCTCACCGTAACTATTCATTCTGTGAATTTAACCGCTGCTTCTGCACAGCGGGGAGACCGATAAAGAAGAATGTGCAGCATCGAACCCAAAGAGCTGCTTTGCCTCACCGTTGTTCTGCCAAGTTTCCGTCCGGCCTCCCGAATCCACCTGGCAGCTTTTGAAGGAAAACGCCGACGACCTTCAGCGAGAGATTAACGTTAGCTTTGTCTGCCGACTGTCCTCGGGCTCCCGCAGCAACGCGGTAGACGTGAGCGAAGACAGCACATGTAGATGTGAGTGCAACCTGAAAGCACGTGTGTGTGCTGGGGGTGAGCGGTCACATGAAGGGTGGATGCCAATGGCTCCCGGATCACGGGGGCTTTTCCTGGGATCTGGTACGTAATGAAAGGGCTTTATGTGGAGGCAGACATGTCCCAGTTCTCGGGCCAACCGGGCCACGGGTGAAGGCCGGCGGCGCCGCCGCCATCTTACCATCATAAACATTAAAATAGTTGTTTTAGTGAGGCAGCTACGCTACAAATAGTAGCATCTAAATGTGGAAGCATGAGGTGGAGATGTAGAAAAATATCGAAACGTGAATGTTACACACAAAAATTACATTAACACATAATATATAATATAACACAAAGAAAAAACATCTTATTAAGAAATCTACAATATAGATAAAACATTTAATCAGGTCAAAACTAAGAAATTATGGTTAAAATAAATTTCTACCTTGGTAAAAGTTACCAAAAAAATTTACAATTAGCTCAAATAAAATAGAATTACAGATTGCAGTTCTAGTAAACTGAAAAATTAACTATGACATAAAAGAAAATTACATTAAAATGCATTTAGTTTTATAAATAAATCTCAAACTGCAAGAAAAACATGATATCAAACACATTAATATCAATTTTAATACTCAAATAAAGATGTAAACTGTGTAGACGATTAAAATAAAACATGTTCTTGGATTTCTATAACACTGAATAAAATGACTTTGCAATATAACACATAAACATACATTTAAGAAATCTATTTATTTATTTATTAAAAACTACATTACTGTCCAATTTGACAATTTAATGTTTATATATAAAAAAACATTCTGAAAACAATGAAGTCCTTTCTTTTGGTCAGTTGGTCCTGCAGTGAGCCAGTGTCGCCACTAGAGGGCTCATCATTCTATCAATTGAGTTCTGTGTTTGTTTTGGTTGAAAAAGGGGAACTACTCTTCTGCAGAAGGTTCTTGTTTGGGTGTCTAGTTTCCGTTGATGCTTCAGTGCTTCCTTAGCCCACAAACCCTTTGAGGTGAATTTCCTGTTGAGTATTTTTACTCGTGAGGGACTTTTTTACCATTGCTGCCGATATTTTCCGCTCTCACTTGCCGAGCCATATGTTTACCTTAGCGAAGGACAAAGCAGAAATATGGTTCAGATCTTACATCAACCTCAGTGTGTGTAGTTTGTAGTTTCACTCTGAGTGTGGAGTGAAAATACGACCCATGTGGGCAGGACCATACAGCAGACACCTTGTTCTTGGTTTGTTTCCAACAGGCCAAAGCCAGATGTATCGGGCTCAGTTCGGCTCTCCAAGTAAATACTAAGGAGCAGAGTGTGTAAATATCACACGGTGAACTCCAAAGGCTTCGTGCCAGGTAGCAGGCCTGTGCTGAATGGTTTGGTGCCATGGAGAGAAATGCAGCAAGCAGGCTCGACTTTTCCAGGATGACCAAATTATGCACAAACCCCTGGGAAGGAGGGAGGAAAGAAGACTGATGAAGATCTTGGATTTATGGCATGACATGAGTTTTGGAACAAATGGAGACGATTTCTTGGCAGTGAATCCAACGGCGTAAGCATCTCAGTGGCGCCTTGGTTCAATCTGGCAGTACAGAAAATCAGGATAATTAGAATTTGTACCTAGCAGTGAAGCATAAATAAACTTCTACTTTAACCCAGACTTAAAAAACTTGAGCTTTGCCAACATTGGAGAAGATTTGATAGGATCTGGCATCCTTGAGATGTGCAAGTCACGACTGCTCAGTTGTTTTAATGCGACACAGTTGGGTAAGAAAGGTAATGCAGAACGATGAGTAAGAATGAAAGCTGCCAACAGCAGCTCCTTCCCTCCCTCCCTCTTTGCATTCTTAGCCCGCCCTTTTCTCACTGGTGGCTGATGCAACCTCATAGTCCCATTGCGCCGTGGGAGATAAAACAGCGCTTCCTTTCTACCTTTAACCCCGTTCTACCTTTAATCCACGGTGCCTCGGGTTTCTCCTGATCCCCACAACCTTTCCCCCAGTGAGGAGGCTTAACCAGCAAAAAGGTGTCTCAGCTGGGATCTGCTACTTTACCTCCCGTCTTTTCTTAAACAAACACACCCAGTTCAGGAACATACCCTGAGACACCAAGTCTGAGAAAGGGAACATTATTCTAATGTCTATTTTGAAGGAAGAAAGTCACAAGGCTGACAGAAGGGGGGGTCTAAATATAGATGCATGCTACCAATGAGGCACCTTGTTGGTCTGTCACATACACCCTTCTTTAAAGACGTTAATGTTTGCAGGTCTAATGTGAAAAAGTTTGAAGAGTTGGGATGCAAGCTACGTTCACACTGCAGCCTGACATGACCAAAATCGGAATCTTTTGCCCTTATGTGACCTTTATGTGATCTTTTGATGACAACCTGAACAACACATATCGAATATTTTACAAATGCAACTCGCTTGAATATGTGGTCGTCAGTCCGACACGAATCCGATCTTTTCAAATGTGACCCTGTGTTTGTAGGTACAGGTCGCATTTGTCTGACCCGTATGTCACTGATACGCCGCAAATGTGGCGTATTCTGCATTCAGGAAGAAAAACAACAGCTACAGTGGAGGATAATGAGATGATGAGATTTAAGTTGTTAATGTGATGCTTCTGGTTTGAGAACTGGTTAAAATCGCAAGATACAGTCCACCATTACTGTCCATATTCACAAACACTGAGCGCGTTCGCCATGTGGAACACTACTGCGTCCTCTGCTGCACATGCAGGATGCCTTTAAGGTGTTTCAGGTTCACACAGGAGATCTCATACAAGTGGCATTTATTTCTGAAAATAAAAATAAATTGTGATCGAGCGTTATGGCTTACAGTGTGAACGCAGCCTAAAACACGTTGAATTTGCGTTTGTGTTCGCAAAGCCTCCTTCATGTCAGATGGATCTGTAAAGTTCTCGATGTGGCAATCAAGTGAAACCCCTAAACGCTCGCGACTTGTTCCCTCTCAGATCCGCTCCTCCATCACCACGTTGCTCTTCAAGGGCCGTGACTTCAGCTGGACCCGCCACTTGGTGATCGCCGCGCTCATCCTGGCCTTCAACAACATGCTGGTCATCTTCGTTCCCACAATCAGGGACATCTTTGGCTTCATCGGTAAGTCCTGACTCACAGTTTCTTTTATTAGTCTTCTCAGTCGGGTGGACACATGAAGCTACCGATGGCAGACGATCAACACCTCAACGCTAAAAATAGCCGAGTCACTTAGAGCTCATGCACTCAAAGAGAAGTTTAGAAGTGCCCTACCTTTTTGTCTTTTTTGGCTTACAGCAGGAGGAACCGCAACCTAAATCGTCAAGGGTCTCGCTCTGCGAGTCATGACTGTCCTCGGTGCATTTTTAGCTTGACAGAAAGAGCATTTCGTCAGCTTTTCTGCTTGCTCACTCAATATCCAGTAGGGCACAATCTGTAGGAGGGCAAGCAGTTAGGAAGTCCAGAGAAAGCTGCTGACGCAACGGGAAAACTACTGCAACCTAACCTACAATTAAATAGTAAACTATCTATTGTCAGCACACAAAATGAAGAAAATTCTAGTCCTCACTTACCGTAAATTGCAACTTGTTGAGGCAACCAGGCATTGCGTGCTTTAATGAGCCCTTTTTCCCCTCTATTTGCAGGTGCTTCTGCAGCTACAATGCTCATCTTCATCCTTCCTGCTGCGTTCTACCTTCGCCTGGTAAAGACGTTACCATATAACTCCTGGCAGAAGATTTCGGTAAGTGTGCACTGCCATTAGTTTTACTCTCCTCTTCCAAACTCTAACCCTTTCTCCACCAAGGCTGATGTAGTTGTTATTTCGGATAAAAACTAGAGATCAGGCCTGAAATCTGGAAGTAGTGATTGATTCAAAACTGAACCTTCAGCGCCACATAAAGACAGTAATAAACTGGGCCTTCTATCACCTGAAGAACATTTCAAAGACTGAGATCTAGAAAAGTCTTTATCAACCTTCAAGACCTCTCACGTTCTGGTTCTGCTCTGCGCTGCCAGAACCAGAACCAAACACGGAGAAGCAGCCTTCAGCTTCTATGCAAAACAAATCTGGAACAAAGCTCCTGAAATCACCCAAATGTAGACTAATAACCCACCTGTTTAGAGTTACTATTGATCCATAATAAACTGGAAATTTGGTCAATGTGTTTCATGTGTATTTGCTTGGTGATTTTGTTGGTTGCATTTGACAAACTATATTGTTTATTGCTTGTTTCATGATCGATGACTGTTTGATATTTTTATGGCGTGAAGCAGCTGCCTTGTTGCTGAATGTGCTACAGTAATAAACTTGAGTTGACCAAAAGGCAGGGAGTTCATCTCCAGGCGACCCCAGTTCATTGCCTCCTTACCCAGAATCCCTTCCTGTTCCCGTCTCTGTCTCTCCAGGCGGCGGTCTTCCTGGCCGTGGGGGTGGTCTTCATGATCGGCAGCTTGTCGCTTATTGTTCTGGACTGGATCCATCACCCAACCGGCAGCAGCCACGCCCACTAAAGACCCCTCCTCCTCACTTTCGGATTTACATTTAAGAAAGCAGCCGTCATTCTTTTCCAACCTCGCTACAATCTTCGTCACTTCCCTCGATTGAATTATTCAGAAAATCTTCAGCGTATCAGATGTTCTGCTTCCTCAGAACATCATTTGGAGGACTTTTTTATTATTTCTTTTGTACGTTAGAATGTATCAACTTCAGACTTTGACGTAATACGCCCTTACAGGCAGTCTGGAATCATCGTCGCGATAAAGATATCGTACTTCCAGCTATGAAGATGTTGAGCAAATCTTCCACCTGAAGAACAGCATTGTGATTGGACCGCGGGGCTGGAAAAGGTGATGGCGTTTCCTGCCGTTTTCCTAAAATTAAGCTACTTTTACAAATGGAGTGTGTCGTCACCCATGAAAAACAAGCACTTCGATTACTTTTCATTTAAGTGGAGATGCAGTAGACACTCGTACAAAAAAATGTGCACACATATCAAAACATGTATTTCTTTAAGCTACTGTCCATGAAACAAAGACGGTTAAATTGATGAAAAACAATGACAAATCAGAAACCTTGCCAAGGTCTGCATTCGTCAGGGACGATTGTCTTGGCCAGCTGCACACAAGAAGGTGCTTTCAGTATTATTGTCATGCAGAACTCTGAACATGGATGAGACAAATGCACATAATCAGCTGCAACTACTGCATTAAGTAGCATTGTACATATCTCAGCCGACCTATCAGAGTCCTCTGTTGTTCAGGTAACGTGAAGACAAATGGTCATTTCAAACAACAGGCCTGCTGGAACAACCTGCCAGACACATAAAGTAGGGCGAGACTGCTGGATGGAGAATCACTTGTTACTTTTACGCAGAGTCAGCTGAAACATCCAGAGGTAACTCGGAGTTTCATCAGCGACAGCTGAAATAGTTTCTCTAAATATCCGTAACATCTACTCTCTTCTCTTGTTATGTATTTGTATCGTAGCTCTTAACTCTCAGTTCAAACCTTTATCATGTGAATGCTACATTTGTAGCCAAGTTGCAGATACCTGCTGATATGAGGCTGGAGACCGGCTGGCTTTTCTAGAAACTGGAGCTCGGATTCGGAAGTGATGTCAGAGCCGAGGGAAGCTCATTACTTTAGCTAGACACCCGTTATACGTATGAGGTGTTGACTGATGTCATTACAGTTTCAAAATGTGGTCCAGTTAAGGTTTTTTCCAACTTGGAGGAACTGGAGAAACATATTTTTCTAGCCTCAGATTTGAGGTGGTAGCTGTACATCAACAGAACATTGTGGTTCGACTGAGAGGAAAACTGTACAAATGGGGGCAGATTAGATGGATATGAAAGCCGTTACCCAAAAAAATTACTTCTTACATTTTTAAATTTCACATTTCAGGTTGAACTATTTCCAAGTCAAGCCAATGAACTACAACTTTTAGAGAAAGTAGTGAAGGATTTGAACAGTAATAATGTCTGTTATACTCAAAGTAAGTGCTATGCTAATCAGTAGGTGTTTGGTAAATGTCTTTGTTATGGTTTTGTGCTACATCGGTTTTTAAGGAGTAACTTGATTTGCAATTGTCTTTTTCATCATTATCAAAGGCTACAAATAATATTAGGTATCCCGAAGCTTTTAATTTTAAAACCCCCAATAATTACCACTTGTCAATAATTTGGACAAAAGTGGACAAACACAACGTCTCAATGTCAAATTACAACATCTTCCTATTTTAGCAATAGTATCATGAATAGACACCAGCTGCATTCTGCACATTATCCATGCTATGTTTCTGAATTCTTTATTAGCACACATTTAAAGCCAATACACTTAAACAAATATTAGGCGATTTTATATTTATGCTTTATAGATCTGGAAAGTCATTCATGTAGCTAAGAAAAGCTTTTTATGAAAATGCTACATATGAAGTTCATCTAACAGCTACTTACTGATTCTTGGCCAGAAGTCAACTAGCTGTTTACACATGAAACTATTTCATAGTTTCACAAACTCTCAAATGTACGTTTTTACAACAAAAAATGTTTGGGGATCAGGGTGTTAGAAATTTAAAATGAATGTTATACATTTCTAAAGTAATCAGTGTCTGTTCCCCCAAATTGCTAACCCTCAATATCACATTTTTTTCTAAAGGATTTTTCCATTTCAGCCATGCTAGCTTAACCATCTCTGGCTGCTAGCTGTATATCTAGCTCATAAATGTCAGACATTTTTGTCTTTCTGCCTTAATGTTTTGCTACAAATTGAACAACATGTAGTTTGCATTTCTCTGAAACACAAAGTGGCTGTTCTGTAAACTGTGATAGTTCAAGAGAAGTGACGTGTTGAAACGTACCTGGGTCACTCGCTATTTGGCTAACAACACTGTTCAGTCGCTAAGCTAGAGTTTGTTACCATTCAGCAATTTGTTGTTACAAACGCCTTAAATGCCTATAACCTACATTTTAAAACGGAGACCTAAATTGTGCCTTTCGGATGCTTTTTATTTCTCTATATTTTTGGCATTTTTAAAACACGTGCCTTTTGTAAAGTAGTTGGTGACGATTCGCCTGATTCCACCTTCAATCGTTGTGCCGTTACGTGTCGCGAACACACCCCTGCCAAAGTGGACACTTATAGATCCTTTGTGGATACGTGAAGCAAATAGATATTTCAAATGAAATAGTGTATTATGTGCATGTTTTTGGATTACAAACGTGGTCTTTTTTTTTTTTTTTTTGGGAAAATTGTACATGCTGTGTAAATAATCCTTATTTTATGGTACACCGACATTCATCGCCGTTGAGTGGGTTGTGGGGGGTTGTACTTGAGAAGCCTTTTACAATCATTTGTTTTTAGTATATATATTATATATAAATGTGGATGAGTGTTAGCCTTCTTTTGTGCTCTTGCTGTACGACAGTTGCTCGCTTTTTTTCTCTCGTTATGTGGTGCTTGTACATTTGTCGAATGTTTTGACCTTACATACATATTTTCACGTTTTAGCGTGACCTTTTCGGATCAGAGCGCCTTACATCTATTGGATCGCAAAAGCATTATTTTCTCAAAACACGTCAAAATTTAGGCAGTACAGTTCGGTTTCGCTCCGGGTTCAATAACGCTAAATCATGACAGCAAGATAATAATTTCTTCTTACTTCAGGTTGACAAAAATGCACAACAATATTTCAACTCCCCGCCGTACCGCGACAATCGTTCATAGCTGAATAGCCTATCTTACTGAGGCTTGCAATGTGTATCAATGCTGTCCTAGAAACATCTTTGGTGAAGTTTTGTTTTGTATAACTTTACTTGAATCAAAGCATTTCTTAGCCTGATAAAGCACTAAGATGCCTTTCTTATTGAAGAAGTGCCATAAATGTTCAGTATTGATTTTACAAATGTGTTTTGACCTCAGTTAAATGTAAGAGATTCGTCGCCTCCTCAGGTTGGGTCGTCTTACGAAGAAGTATAACTACCCACACTACACATTGACCCCCTCTGAGTATCTCAGGGTCGCGGTCTGGATTCACTTGCCCCCCCACACGTTTGCGTACAGCGTCGAAGAATTTTACCTCAGCCTATGCTGCACAGGCAGACGCATTTTGTACTTGCACAGACAAACGGCCTCCTTGTGCTTTTTCTGAAGCAGACACCAGCAAAGCCGATTTGAGGGAAGGGTGAACAAAACCGCCTCGGCCTTAGTTTTCTACGGACCCTCAGGCACGGAGAAGCACTGGCTCAATGTTTTTGCTGTTCCCAGTGTCTTTACTCCCTGTGGATCAGGCTAAACGTTCAGATTTGTAATTTACTTAGTGTTTTATTATTATTGTTGTTTTTTTTTTTGTATGAGTGATGCTATTTCATTACGATGAACAATAAAATGTGAAAAGAGAAATAAAATTGTCTTGTTTTTTTATGTGGTTGTTGCTTATATAAAGAAATAACAGCATAGATTATAAATACAGGGTCTTACAAGATTTTCTAAATTTTCACCTGATCAGAGGGACGCTGGCAGATGGTTTGCAGCAGATTTTTACAAATAAAAGTATCAAAACCTGAGTAATGTTTTTTTTTTTAATTCAACTCCCTTGCTGTGTACCCCTAAATAAATTCCATTTGCAAAACAATTCAAAGTCAACAAATACATGAACAGCTGTTCTTTAAAAAGTTTCTAGAAATCCTTTTTCAAAACTTTGAAGTTGTAATTCCACAGAGTAAACAAAAAGCCAATTACGTTATGCAAGCTTATGTTTGCGTAAATCTATAGAAATATGGAACTTTGATTGAAAGAACTAAAAATCCCACCTCAGCTATCTTTCAGAGACCAATGTAAAAGTTTCAGGGATTTCTAGTCACTTTCAGTCCGTCTGAGATCCGTTTGTTCATTTTATGGCAGTTAATTCAAAGCTTAGCTTTGCAGCAAATTCTGCAAATATGAATTATGTCTTTTAAGGTAATGATAATCCCAAAGGAATTATGCAAAGCTGAGTTTGAATTCAGTTTTGCATAAAACAAAACACAGGTGCAGGGTTTTTCTTTGGCCAAAACGCCTTGTCTCATGTTGGTAACCGCTTAACGGCTCTTCCCCCCCGACCCTCATGTCTCCACACAGTTACTGCATTTCTATTTCAGTTAGTGGGTCACCGCCGGGTTTTGTCTGGAGCCAAGATTTCTGCGACGCGAATGGAGCTGAACGTCTCAGACGATCCGGTCTCAGCTGGAGCTGCTGCACCAGCAGCTGAACTTTAGATGACGGGACAAGATATGATACGATGCTGTCCCCGCTGTTGAAATTAACGGCGTAAACGCGGCCCGCAGTTGGAGAACCGCCAGGCTCGCCTGTAGGTTTGCTTAAAAGGGTTTTGTAGATGCAAAATGTGGAAATGTGTCTTCCCTTGCAGATCTATTCTGTTTTTGTTTGTTTTTTTTCAATACAGATCGACTTCATTCCAGACACCAAAGGTGGTACATCTTATTATTGCATTCACAACGTGTTACCACCATCCTGCTCAGACTGCATTGCGTCTCACTCACCCAGTGTGAATGATTTTCGATTATTTGAAACAACAAAAAATAGAATAAATCTTTGAGAGGAGGATTAGTTTTTACAGTACTGTACTTGTTGAAAGAATGTGAACCTCATTATTTTTACTGCTTGTGAGAGGATTCCTAATCATTGTCTTGAGTTACATAAGAAACAACTGAAATCACACATTGGTAAGTTTGCCATTAAGTCATTCAAAACGCAGCGTCATCATCCTCCTACCACTTCCTGTTGTCTTCTTCGTCTTTCCCATCAGTAGTGACATCCGGTTGTTGGTCATGTGATTGGTGTGACCTGAAAAAGTGACTTCATCGCAGTTTTGAGCAATTCCCTAATTTCAACATGGCCAATAAAAAGAAAACCCCTCAACCCTAGGGCCAAAACGTTTAGTCAAAAAACATGAGATATTTTTTTCTTTCGGAGTTGGTGTGTTCCCATTAGGTGGATTTATTTATTTTTTTTTATAATTTCATTTTGCGTAGTTGAATGGTCAGTGGAAATCCAGGTGTCTGCATCCTGCATCTACTCTAGATATTTCATACTTCCTCGTAATGCCCCAGTTAAATCGGGGAAATTGTTTAACCACCCTTTTTTTCCCGAATATTCATTAATGAATAGGGAAAAAACCTGACTCCTCCTGATCAGAACCAACTGAACCCAAACTACTGTTACAAACCCACAATACGTATTTGGAAAAACACCAGTGACGCCCTGCATTCTGTTGGGTCATCGGACAAAATCCTAATCGAATACATTGTAGTCTGTGGATGGAATGTGACAAAATGTGAAAAGTTCAAGGTGAATGAATGGTACTGCAAAGCTCTGTCACCATGAATCTGTTTCCCATGTGAAGTGAAAATGACTGTTTATTGAATGGATAGGCAAAATGTGGCGTTTAGATTTTTAACTTTGTTTTTAGCAAAACACTTGGATCAAACTAAGACTTGTCTGGTGTCGTATGTGTGACGAAAGACCAGCAGATCTGCGCTGTTCTCTTTTCCTGATTCCAGTAGTTGCCTGTCTTTATTTCTCATCTGACCTCTTTGACTCCGACCTATACACACACACACACACACACACACACACACACACACACACACACACCCCCCACCCACACACACACACACACACACACACACACACACACACCCCCCCACACACACACACACACACACCACTCCTTCTCTCTTCCTCCCTTCATCCCTCAACCCCCAAATCTTCTTTTTATTAGGATTAACTGTGCTGTTCTGTACGGGGGGTAAATTCCAGAAATAATGTCACCGTTACTAACCTACTGTCTGTGTGGGAAAAATTCTCAGCAGCAGCAATTCTACAAACTGCAGACATGTTAGACCACTTTTGGTCTAACATGTTTAAATATAGATAGATATAAACTAACATGTTTATCTATCGATAGATAGATAGATAGATAGATAGATAGATAGATAGATAGATAGATAGATAGATAGATAGATAGATAGATAGATAGATAGATAGATAGATAGATAGATAGATAGATAGATAGATAATGTTAAAAAGTGAGAAGACTTGTATTCCATTCAAGAACAGAGACACTAAAAGCTGAAAGGACGGATCAGAACCTTACAATTCTTTTTTAACTCTTTCCTGAACTGGTCACAGAGGAAGCTTTCAATCTTAATAATAATCTTGATAATTTTTAGTTGCCAGTGGACGGTTTAGTTTTAGATTCTGTCAGCTCTGTGTTAGCCTCCTAATGTCTCATTCTTCCTCACAGCTCTACCACATTTTGTTAATTAGACTCACCTGTTCTTCATTCTAGCAATCAATCTTCCTCAAGGTTTGAGCCGTCTACATACTGAGGCTCTTCTGACCAGATTCATTTATGTTAGACCGAACTATTCACGGTTTCCCCATGGTAAGTTTTGAAACCAAAGATGTCAACATAAGATGCAAACCACATTTCGTTGCTTGTACATGTGACAGTGCAATGACAATAAAGTTGAATTCTATTCTATTCTAAAGCTGACCCTGGTCTATCAACTCAATATCACAAACACCCTGAAATCAGTGATCATAAGGGGCTGTGATGCAGTAGTGATAGAAAAATGGAAAATTGTGTGTCATCAGCAAAATGCAAGATTTTGAACAAAAGTGGTCTGAGAAGGGAGCCTTGATGAATCCCATGTGAGCTTTGTCCTTGCCTAGATTTATATTCACCAAATGAAGCCAATGAGTCCCTGTCTGCTCCGTAAAATCTTGACCAAATTAATTAACGCAGTGCCAGAAGGTCCAGCCTATAAAACTGGGCGTGCCTACCCTACGCAGATACCTGGGTCAATTTGATGTTAAAAAGACATAACTTTGCTTTCAAAGCCAGTTTTAATTTAAATATTCCATCATGGAAACAGATGATGTACTCTCCCATGACTTTAACACAAAATCTACTGTCTAGAAAACATGTTTTGCTTTCTGCTTAAGGACTTTTGCCATTTTCAGTCAACTATCAGTTTTTTTGTCCTTGTCAAATTGTTTTTACAGCCAGATTGGAACAGTTTTGTCATTGGGTGACCCAAAGCCATTCCCTCTGGAACCAGAGGAATAAAAATTAATGTTTAAAAAAAACGGGCAAATTTTATGACCTAAATATCTACACATATGACGAAAGGGAAACGTTTAATACGTGGCAGGACACCAAGTTCTTTTGGATTGACCGGCCCTCCTTCTAACACTGTAAAGTGCCAGGTGTCCAAGTTGGCTCTTTGATCTGCTCTAACTGCAAGGTGCTGGACGGGACTCGACTCACACAGAAATCAACATGGTGAGAGAAACCACATCCAGGTGTAACAGAACAACCACTCATCCTGACGCATACACACCGAGATCAGAGCCCTAACCCGCCTGGATCTTTAAGGGCCACGCGGTTTTGATCAACAGAGTTCAACAGCTTAAGTGTGTCTCACATAATCTCCATTTGGCGTCATAACAGATGTGGGTCCTTAAGTCTTTCTTCAATAAACTTTTCAGGTGATTTTATTCCAATCCTATGTCAAAGTTGAGTCATTCTGCGTCCAAACACATCCCAGCCTTCCAGCGAAAGTTCTAGGCGTTTGCGACGTGTTCAGACGCAAGGCGGACGTTCTTTCACAAGCGACTGTCGGGCCAAGAAAGTTATCAAATGTGTTTGCTGCATCCAGTCCCGAATACACACTCTTCAGTCTGTTTTCACATAAATGGTAACATGTAATAGAAACATTGACAGGGTTAGCATTATGGTTAAGACGTGATCTCAGGGATGATTCAGGGTTTGGTTTTTCTTTGAAGAAGGGTTGTGTTTAGAGGCTATTGGTCGTCTTATCTGCGGTTAGCAACTCTTTGCATGTTTGTGTTGTTTTGCCCAGGACTAACTGCAAGTCCAACCAATGGGAATTTCTTGTTTGCATGGACTACCATAGAGTGGTGAAGACCGTCTTTGAGTCTGTTCTAAAGATCTTCCATCGTTAAATTATTAAATAATGGGATATTTAAAGGTTGTTCGTGCTGACGATAGGCAGCAGAACCTTTAGCTGATCACAGCCTCAAGCTACACTTCAGAAAGCAACTAGCCCTTCTTTCGACTGCTAATGTTGGCTCATTTGCTAAGTGTCTAGATTATTTATAGCACTGTTCTGCATGTGAAGGGATCAGTCTTCTCAGAGTCTCTGGGTATCTCACTCCAGGTTTTCCGATTATGGACACCAGATCTCAGGAAGCCAGTGTGCTTCTCATGCTGACCATGGGTCAGTTCTGTACTCATGGCCAGCATGAGTCCTCGGGGTTTGGTTGTCCAGTTGTCCAGGTGTTGTGGAACTGAACAAGGCTTATATTTGCGTCCCTAAATGAATAAAACAAGA